TGGCCAAGTAATGGCCGTGACTCATCCACATGGCTGACACTGACAAAGGTTCTACAATCTGAGTTACAGGATCTCAGGATAAATCCTGAGGGAATTTCACTGACCTTCTCAGACCCAAAAGCTACAACTCTTGTTGCATAGGTCCCGTTTTACCTTGGTCTTAACCATCCAGCAGAAATGTATAAAACCGAAATATAAGAAGTAATGCCATGCTGTTATGTTGAGCTGTAGGGGACTCTGGTCAACAATTTCTGACATTGCCAGTCAAATAGAAGACCCAATACTATTATGGGCTACTGGACTCTTTTAGGATATTTTGCTGCGTTTACATACCTATATTATTCAAATAACGGAACTTAACAAAAAAAGGGTATACAGATGTGTGCCCATTTTGTATCTGTGTATTCAAAGTGGTTAGGATATATAGTTACATTCTCTTAATGAATAGAGGGATTTGTTCTGATGGTGTTTGTAAATAGGATATCAAGTCCACATCTTGTACAGCAATTAAGCACTAGGAAGAATGTATGCAATGTGTTAATTATTGAAACTGTCCTACCAATTTGGTTTGAAACTGTCTCTTTGCAATTTGTTTATCAATAAAATTACGGAAAAAAAAGAAATGCTGCTAGATTACTTCCTTAAATTCTTTCTAATAGTATGAATTAAAGATATCTCCTAGGTTGTGGAATGTTTTCCTTCAGTTACACTCTTTCTTCTCCAGTAATTTTTTTTCCCAGAGAGCGCAGTTCTTCTACTGTCCTGCTCAGAGCCCCTATGCTGACCCTGCCTTAAGGAGTTAGAGCCAGCGTTTCAGGACAGCCTTCAACACCCTCTACTTGCTTCTCAAAGTGTTTCCCCTTCACCCTGAAGGCATTGTTCCCTTGGGAGTAGTAGGTTCCTATATTTTTAAACTGTCTGTCTTCCTCCTCCCTCTTAGGAGCTAGGCCATCACATGCATTGTTTTTCTCCACCTAGAACATCTGAGTATTCTTCCCATGACTTTCACAGTTTTCCTTTTTCAAAATCTACCTTGCCATTAGGGAGCAGTGCAAATACTACTTATAACTGTAATTCCTAATTTCAACAAGTTTCTCTGCTCTTCTATTATAGCATTTCTCAAGGTCTCCTTGTACATTATAGTTCTAGTTATTTGGTGAGTACTTTGTGGTCAGAGAATGGAACTACGGCTTTACTCCATGTATTGTTTCTTAAACACTGTATTCTATTAATACTGAGTGAGTTGAAATAAATTTATAGAAGGCTTTTTAACATGAAACTGGTGGACCTCTATGAGTGCTGTGCATAGAATTTAAAATAGGAAGAATCTATGAACTTGGATGGAAAATTATATGCAGTTGGCTTTCTGTATATGTGGGTTCTGCATATGTGGATTTAACCAACTGTGGGTCAAATGTAATTTGGAAAAATTGCATCCACACTGAAAATGTACACTTTTTCTTGTCATCATTCCCCTAGTAATATAGTATAGCAGCTACTTACATAATGTTATTAGGAATTATAACTCATCTAGAGGTAATTTAAAGTGCACAGAAGAGCATGTATAGATTATATTTAAATACTATACCATTTTATCTCAGAGATTTGACCATCAGTAGAGTTTGGTACTGTTGTACACAGGGTTTCTGGAACCAATCCCACATGGATACCGAAGGTCAACTCAGTTTGTTTTCACTAGCTTCTAATGCAGGTTCTTTTTCAGGTATGAATGCAGGCCAAAAAATTAAATGCAACAGTAGTGGCAGTGCCTGTAACTTTATCACCAATGGAAATCTAAACTATTTTATGTCATAACACAGTTATTGTAGATTTCTCAAAGAATTTTGCATCCAATTCAACTTTGAAGTTACAGAAGTAATAATAAGTAAGATCCAGTGATAGGTAATTACTTAATATAATATGAACACATATTATTAAATTTTAGTGTCTTATTTCAATGTCACTCTCTCTTTGTACTTCCTTATGTTATGCATTTACAAATATTCTGAGAAGGGGTCCATGGCTTCATTAGACTACCAAGGAAGGTCTATGCATAAAGGGGCTGAGATGAGAAATGTCTTTACCTCTTTAGGTGTAAATGATTCTGTATCTATTTCTTATACTTATTTGATAGCTATATTTTTATTTTATTGAGAAACAATAGCAATGAGAAAGTTTCAAAACAGGTTAGTAGGACAGTTACAATAATTAATACATTGCATATTGTTGTCTTCATAGTAGTTATTCACAGTACAAGACGCATACATGATATCCTGTCCAAACATTATTAGTACAAATCTCATTGAATTAAGCAAAAGTAGCTGTATATCTATCCTAACTACTTTATATAGTATATATATATATATATTTGACCAGAGATGGATATTCCATTTCTATTTAAATATTGTAGGTGCGTGAATTCATCAAAATAATCCAATATAGTCCAATAGTCCATAATAGTAGTGGGTTATCCGTAGGACTGGTAATGTTAGAAGTTGTTGACTTGAGCCTTTTACAGCTCAGCATATTAATATGGCTTTACTTTTTACTTTTTATACCACATTTTTTATACTTTTCTGCTGGGTGTAGAGCCAACATTTTGTGAGTACTCATTGAACCTCAGCGCTCGGGAGCTAATTCAAAGTTAGACATAAACCTTGAGATGAGAATGATGTCCAATGTGCTAGAAAATCCTCCGTCTCTATTGTATTCTCTCCTGTCCCCTCAGTCATTGATGTTTTGTAGTCACCCCTGACCCAGCTCAAGGATAATTTGAAATTGGATATGTAATGATAGCCACCAAATTCCAGCCCCTGGGCTCTATTCCCCTTAATTTACAAGAGACCTTTCTGTAACAGTCACTGGATTGGCATGAAAACTAGAGTAGCACTAAGTTAGGGTGGTTAACTTGCCTTATTCCCACAGGGTACTTGCCTTATTTCCTGTTCCTTTGTCAATCCTGAAATAGATTTCCTCCCTGAATCCCTGGTGAGATTTATTTGCAGAGTCATTCTCTGGGCTGGGCTTAGTCTTTGTAATAATTGTGTAGCTGATAGAATGGCTACCTGGCCCCTCTTCTCTGCTGCCTAATCCTTGTGCTGAGGAATGACCCAGAAACACAAAGACTGAACTGAATAATGTCTTATTGACTGCCTGGAGAGTCATATCTTTGACAGGTCCCTCAGTAGTGTTATCATCCTAGAAAATACTTTCTCCTTCACAAGGTGATGGATAATATTAGATGAAATATTGCATATGAAGTGTCTAGTGAGTAATAAGTCTGGATACAGGAAAGCTGCTGCTTGTTATTGTCGCTACTACTGCTGTCACTACCAAATTTTTAGTCAAAGAAACAAGTCTCTAATAATAAAGTTTAAGCTATCATTAAGATGAGGCAATCTATTTGTGAAGTTGGTGACTATATTTTCTAGTGCCTGTGAAATCATGTGTGTGGCTACATGTTATTTTGGCCTAGATCTCCCCTTGTCCCTTTGTTTCTCTGTTGACTTATTATCAAAATAACACCTCTGTGTTGCCCAAACCCATCTCTTCTAAGGTTCCTTCCTCTCTTGTGCTGAGGAAAACCAATGAAACAGAAATAATAGTAAGTGTTAATGCAAGGCAGTATGTAAAACCATGGTCATCAGCCCCAAAATGGTACTTAGATGTAGGAGTCCCCACTGTAGGAGTCCTTCAGGTTCTCCTCTCAGTCTAAGAAGTCAATGTTTGTAATCCCAAAGATATGTTGTTGGAATCCCATCAAGTTAATTCTAATCTACCACTCTCAGTGCAACCCACGGTGAAAGTAAAGACAGTAAAGCATATTTATAATTATTGGGGAGCCAAAGAGTCCTAAATCCAGTCAAGAAGATGGCTTTCGGGAAGAAAGAGGCTGACCCAGGGCCACACATGGGTTTTATTCAGTGCAGGAGTGGCTTCAGGAGGAATGCCTGAGGATTATGGGAAGTAGGTGAGTACTGTGAGCTGAGCTAGGCAGGTTGCCTACATTTACCTCTGCTATATGCAGAGAGGATATGCAGAGAAAGTAATCTGCTTTTTGCTATTGAGATAGTATCTAATGTTTCAGGGGTGTCTGGTGCTTCAGCTCTGATATAATCTTTCAAGCCCCAGGAAGTCATAGTTTCTGTCTATCTCAAGGCTTGATCCCAGATGGTAGCATGGAGCATTGGCTCTTCACTCTGTCTCAACCTGGCTCACAGTAAAGAGCAGCAGGTATAGGTTACCAGGGAAACACACATGCCACCTTCAAAGACTATCACCAGCACCTCAGCTAGATCAATATACATTGCTTAAGGCCAATTGAAAGGATAAAGAGAAGTCCTAGCCAGCTCTGTACTTATCAATACAAGGAAATAGGGTCAAGCTCAGTCAAAATGCAGACAATTGCTCTTCTTTCAAGGAGAGCTGCTCAGGTAGTCCTCCACACTTGGACATTACTGAGTTTAACCATCTGTCCCACTTCATTTCTGTCCTTTTACAAATGAGATCAACTAAGACACAGGAAGGAAGTATGGGTCACCTAAGACTGTAATTGAGCCAATTATAGAACTAGGCTTAGAACCATGTATAGTATTCTTTACCCTTCTCCTAACTTGTCCCTGCAGTTTTCTACCAGTACTATAGATAATACAAGATGTACTTAAGAGAAAAGAAAAGTATGGTATGGCTGAAATTGGCTGGTGTAAGTGGGGAAGACTATGTGGATGTATAGTTAATATTTTCTTACTTTTGGTTAGTGGGCTGATTTGAATTCTTGTTTGCCCCTTGGTAAGCATTGCTCTATGGCTGTGGCTTTTGATCGAGAGCAAGGACTGGGTTATGCCTTGTTTGTGTTAGTACTCCCTGCTTTCATTCCCCTAAGATATAAGCTGCTCACATTCTTTGTATCCTACTTCATTCCTCAGTAGTTGAACACTGGTCCCAGCCTCTGCCCAGCTCAGAGTTAGATGACTAACCTGTCTTCTTTGGTCTCATCCTAGATCAATGTGCGGGTAACCACCATGGATGCAGAGCTGGAGTTTGCTATCCAGCCCAATACCACCGGCAAACAGCTGTTTGATCAGGTAAGGGAGGGACCTGTCCTTAACCACCTCCCCTGCTCAGTAGCTCCTACCACGATGCCAACAATCCTCACCTATTACTTCTTGTCAGAAAATCTCTTTTCCTATTTTATTCAGCAAGATAGTTCAAAACAAAAGCTGACTTTGGCCTGAAGAATAAAAAAGAAGACAAAGTTTAAATTTGGTAGCCTGCGCCCTTGTGGCTTTAGTTAATCCTATAATTGGTTCTGAACAAAGAAGAAGAAAAGGAATAAGTTTGCTATCTTAATTATATTTTTCTTTTTTCTTTTTGGCAGAACTGGGGATTGAACTCAGGCTCTTGTGCTTGCCAGGCAAGTGCTTATTCTACTGAGCTATCTCCCCAGCCCATATTTTTCTTGTAGCTGAGATAATATACTAAGCACCCAAAATTAAAAGAAGAAAGGTTTATTTGACTCATAGTTTATAGTCTCAGCCCATAGTTGGTTGACCCCTAGGCAAGATGGCATGGCAGAGGGGCATCACAGAGGAGAAGCAGTTCATAGCAAGCAAAAGGCAGCAAAGTAGCAAGCAGAAAGCAAAGCAATAAGCAACAAGCAGTGCAACCTTCTTTCTGTCCCTTATATCTTATTTTTAACAAAAGATTTATTTATTTGTTTGTTTGTTTGGTACAGGGTTTTGCTATATAGCTCAGACTAGTAGTGATCATCCTGTCACAGCCTCCCCAATGCTGGGATTATAGGCATGCACCACCATGCCCAGTTTCAGTGGCTACCATGGCATGGGGCCACACGGCATGCAGTACTGGGAAACCCAGGTCTTTGCACTTGCCAGGCAGGTGCTTAGACCATCAAGCTATCTCCCTGGACCCTGGCGCTTAACACCATATCCATGATGCCCACCCTTAAGGTACATAGCACTCACCCCTTGGGTAAGGCAGCTTTAATTGTAGCATAGCACCATGAATACATTTGAGCATCACATTCTTGATCTCAGCAGCACACAACCTGAGTCCATCCACCTCTGAAAAGCCTTACCTGAGACCGCTTGAGGCTTTATGGGTAGGGAATTTAGACATAAGCCAAAACAATTGCATACCACATGCTCTGAAGGCATGAGCACACAGAGCCTTCCTTTCCACCCTAAAAGATATAAGTGGTCTCTTCTATTTGGTCATTTAATTTCTGACTTTCATGATAAAATGGAGAAAAGATCACTTACATGAAATTCTGAAGTAAAATGACCAAATTACACTCAGCTGGTCCATGACTGAGATTCTTCCTTGTGTACTATAAAGCTTCTGTCACTTTTCTGTCTCCCCTTTCCTTTCTTCACCTGCCCTGCCCTCCCCCTTCCTCCCTCCTATCTTCCTTTCTTCCTTTGTTCCCTCATTCATTCCTTCCTTCATTCTTTCCTCTCTCTGTCTGTCTCTTTCCCTTCTCTCTCCCTCTTTATTTTTCTTTCTGCTTCACAGTAGAAGGAAACTATACACATTTCTTATAAAAGAATGTCCGGACTTAGGAGAACACTGGGGTGATGAATATAGTAGGAGAGTACTTTATCTCCTGCAGGCATGCCATAGGGATAATTGCTTACTTCCTATAGATAGAATGGTCATTTCCATCTCTAACTGGAGAGGTATTTCTTCACTATTCATTGTCATTTTCAGAAGGGATGTGCTAATAATAATAAAATAAGCAGGTGAAGGCTACAGGATCTTTTGTCATTCAAAGACTCCCGAGGGCCTAAGGGAATGTTTGATCTGTGGCCAAAGTTCCAGGAGCAAATATAGGGCTCCCATTTTTCAGAGGCTGAGACTTCATCACATGGGCCGTTATTCCACATCTAAGTCAGCCTCTGGTTGAGTGGAGGTTTGATTAATCGTTCAAAGTTTTGGGAGTTAATTGTAGTGGTGCATGCTTATAATCCCAGCAATTGGGAGGCTGAGGCAGGGGGACTGTTGTGAGTTCAAGACCAGCCTGGGCTATGTAGTAGCTCAAGGCCATCCTGAACTGCAGAGAAGAGACCCTTTCTCAAAAAAAATTAGTTGAGGATACATAGCATCTTGTTGGATTGTCAAGGTCTTCTTGCTTCCTTGTGCCTGTTCTGTTGTATGAGAGCTTCTCCATGGGCAGGGAATGGGAGGAAGAAAGAAGTAGGTTGGAGTCAGTGAACTAACTGTTCCTGTGAATATTCCATTGGGTGAGAGGAAAGACGAGAGAAGATGGAGATCGGAAAGGGAATTGTTTTTCATTCAGGTCTTTATGTAGGAGGAAGGAAAACTGTCTACAATATAAAAATAGCTTGGATCTCAGTCACTATTATTATTTGAAGTGGGAAAATTGTTGTGTGGCTACTATAGAAGAGAGTCAACTTGCTTTTCTGAGAGTTACTGTATGTGGGTACTATGACAAAACCCTCTGAATGGAAGAACTAGTACTGACCCCACTTTACCACTTGGAAAACAATATCTTCATTAGACCCTGGAGGGAAAGTTCTTAAACCTCACTGGAATGGTATCTTCATGTTTAAAAACAAAGAAGGGGCCGGGAAGATGGTTCAGTGGAATAAGCGCTTCCCTGGCAAGCGCAAGGGCCTGAGTTCAATCCCCGTTCTGCCAAAAAAAAAAAAAAATAAATAAATAAAAAATAAAAAGAAAAACAAAGAAAAAGAAAAATTAAATACCTACCTCAAAGGCTTTTTGTGAATTTATGAAAAAATATACAGTATTATTTATATTTGTTTCACTATCCAAAAATTAGTTATAGTGGCATATAGGGGTGAAAAAAATCTAAAAAGAGACATTATAGATGAGAAACATACAAAAAAATGCAAATAGAGCAGAGAATGGTGATGATTGAGCTGGGAGCTGGGAATAGGCTCGATGGGCTTCAGAATATATAACATTGTATTTTACTAGAACTTGCTTCTCTGTCATTTTATTTTATGTTTTTGTTTTAAATGGTGCTAAGTAATCACTTATATCATTTGTGAAAATTAGCATGAGGAAACTTAAAAATTTTTTGAGACAGGGTGTGACTAAGATACAAAGTTGGTAAAGCTGAGCTTGAACTTGTGATCCTCCTGCCTCAGCCAACCAGAGGGCTTCGATTACAAGTGTGTACCACTATGCTAGTCTGAGGAATTTTTAAATATACATATTTACTGAAATTAAAGCAATGTACTGATACCTAGCTTGCAAATGATTGCATAACTAGTCTGAAATTTCTGTGTTCTGATTATATTAATATTTTTATAGTTTTATTTGCATGCAGATTTTATATTGAAGGGCCTTTAAAGGGACACTAGATGTCAAAAGGACATGAGATAGGGCTGGAGAGATAGCTCACCATTCTAAGCACCTTCCTGGCAAGTGCAAGGACCCAGGTTCAATCCCCGGTACCTCATGCTGTGCCAGCCCTGTACTGTGCCCTGGGAAGGGATCACTATGAGTCTGGGCTGTGGAGCGAGACCCTGTACCAAATAAAAAAACAAAAGGACAATGGATAGAGATAAATCTTGTGTTCTAGAACTGCCTGTGTCACTAACTTCCTATAATTCTTTACTCAAACCTTTCCCCTCTTTAGGCCTTAATTTTCCTGTCTGTAGTGTCTAATTATCTGTCAAATCTTGTTATCCCTCAAAAATTTATTTCTGGCATTTGTATATTCTCTATATTGTTTTCTACCAGTTCTATTTCCACTATTTGGGTTTCTGTAAAAAGAAGAGAAATTCCTCATATTTGTATGATGACCTGTTGGTATATGCAGGGGATGGAAGAGAAAGCAGCTGACCGGCATTACTGCATGATGAATTTAGAAGATAAATTTCAGGCTCTTTTGTATGACAAAGAATTGCAAGTATACAATCCAAATGGCAAGTAAGAAAACAGTTACATTTACTGAAGATCACAGGAAGTGATCACAGCAAGTCTGTATTGACGAAAGATATGGCACAAACAGAAAAGTGTTGCCAGTGACAGGATAGCAAAAGCACTGCATACCAGATCACAGCACACTGCAGCCCCTGATAAATGAAGCTCTAGGAATTTATTTTTATTTCATTTTATTTTTTAAAAGACAAAAAAATAGTAAAAACAATACGAGAAATGATACAGATTTTCACCAAACAAGATGATAGGAATTCAACAATGGTTGTTATATGTTGTCATCTTCAGGTTAGGTGTTCAGATTACCAGGAAGAAGCCTGTAAGATTGGTCATAAAATTATAAAAAAATTAAAAAGGAGAGAGAAAAAAATTTAAGCATTAACTTCTCCTTTCAGTAGACCAGCAGAAATCAGCAGTACAATTGTCCAAGCTATCCTGTGTGAATGCATACCAGCTTTTTGCCCCGCCTTCTGTCTTTCTTTTCTCCTTCCCCTCATCCCAGTTGTTTCTTCCCTTTGAAGAGTTCCTTTCCCCTGCAAAGATGTAGTATTTTTATACATTGAAGTATTACTCAACTATAAAAATCTTGAGACATTTATCAGTAAATGGATACAACTAGAGACCATATTCAAAAGTGAAATAAATTGAGCCACATGTGTAAATATTGTATTGTGTCCCTAATATAAGAATATGAAAGAGTTAATAAGTTCTGAAAGATAAATTGGAATTTAAAGGCTGTGCAGCTCAACCCAGGTTCTTCCGCTGGCAGGGTAGAAGTTATGTTTGGCAGGGTGTTATCTCAGGGGCTCTAAACACGCATGCTTGTCCTAGAATTCACTCCAATCTTGATTGGTACATGACATGTAGTACATATTTATGAGCCCTTAATAAGATTTGAGTATGGTGAAGGTACCACTAGAGATCCAATGCACTTGCACTGTCATCAGAGATCTCCTGAGTTGATTGATGATGTAGAGTGCACCTAAGGAGAGTCACATGGAGAGAAAACATTCTCTCAGGCTTTCACAGAGAGCACATTGGTCAAGCAATGGCCGTGACTCATCCACATGGCTGACACTGACAAAGGATCTACAAACTTCTATACAGGGTTTCAGGATAAGTCCGGAGGGGATTT